AATTACCGCCATTTAATTGCGACTCGTTATTCTTAGCCCGGGCGATCTGTTCTCGCGCGATCTTTCATTCTAAGCGAGGGCGCGCTCCCCTCGCTCGTCCGCCGGCATCGCGTCGGCAGGGCCGACATTTAGGTGGCGAGATCGTCATCGCCATTTAATTAAATCGAAAAACCGGATAGTCATTAATGACAAGTGGCGCCCAATCGCGATGACTCCATGATTTTTATTGATCCCACGCTGGGCCCCGCCGCGAGGGTCGGGACCGCTCGCGAGGGCCCCTGAGGGTCCTCCCTCCCTCCCTCCCTCTCTTTCTCTCTCTCTCTCTTTTTCTATCTCTCCCGCCTTCCCCCGACTATCACAATGTGGCACCTACAACGACAATCACGGCTGGCAAAGGCCGATGGTCCCGCACGAAACACACCGCCTCCTCAATGTTATCGGCCTCACGAAAAGGAATCACGTAATGGATCCGGGGCCGCGACGACTTTCCCATCGACACGACAATGAGAGATTATCTGTCGGTCCCCGAATCCTCCGTCCCGAGAGAAAGGACCGTTCCCGGGGCCATTATTGATCCTCAATCATCTGGAACACCTTATAATAAATCCGTCCGATCGAGACTCGGAATCGCAACGAAGCTTTCGGCAGGACGACAAAATTGCCAATACAGCGCATAGCGATTCGGCACAGTAAGATATTTTCCGTTAAGTTCAACACATTTCACAAGTTCTAAACGACCCACTCAAATTTGTATGTTAATTTAACACAAGGTGAACGTTGACAAGTGTAACACAAGTGTAACAAATGTCAAAAATAAAGACAAAATTGTATAACAGTTTGATCGACATTGAAATATAAAACGTATTATTTTAACACTTACACATGTTGAACATCGACACAAAATATTAAGATAATCTAAACGCAATATGTCAAATTAACACGCGGGTGTGTGAAAAATTCCGCAAGAATTTTAACTGACTATTTTTCACACAAGCACAAAATGTTTTTCGCTATGTGCGGTCTGCGTTTCACCGGTCGGCCCACTTTGAAACAATACCGTCGTTACGAAGCTATAAATCGCAAATTTTTTTCCTCGGGAACGCTTCCGCAATCCCCCCTCCCCCTATAATTCCCGATCGAACCTCGGCCGTTGTCTCAAGAGACAGACGATCGCGAGGTTTCTCCCATCGACGTAATCGCGTTTCCGAGATTGAGAGCGAGCGGGTCGCCGATCGCTAATCCATATATCCACCTCAATTCCAGCCGATCCGGATCGTAAAGAAGGCGCGCGTACGATCGCGAAATCTCCGTCGGGAAAAATCGGCCGCGTTACTCCAATCTCTTATCGCGCGGCTCGTATATCGTCGAACGGCGCACGGCGACGGACACTTTCGATCGTCCGCCTGCCCGGCCGTTCGTCCGGCCGGCAAGTGCGCGGCGGTGAGCTCAGGTTGATGGCGAGAGACAGATAGGAAAGGAGCATTAACGCGCACACGTTTCGATTAACGTTTTCGTCGTATGCGAAACACCGCCGCCGCCGTACGGCGATACGATCTGCCGAGCCCGCGCTAAGTCTGCGGACTGTAAGGAGGTCCATAAACTTTCGTGTCCCGAGATAGTAATCGTCAGGTGCGAAAAGCGTGACGGTTCTGGAGGGAAAGCGCCCGTCCGTCCGCGCGGCCGCTGGTCCCTATGGATGGGTGTTCCCCACGACGACGCGATTCACGTCGGAGCTTAGGGGGAAGGAGAAAAATGTGGAACGGTTTCAAGTGTTGAAGGAAAACTGTAGTTTGGGATCGAAATATTGAATGAATAATCCGTCAATAATGCGGGCGCATACTTCTGAGAACATTAGCGCCATTAGTTATTAAGATAAAATATAATTCTGTTACAAAGGTACACACATTTGGGTCAAATCGAAGATTTGAGAAAATAAGGTGTTATTATATGGAACGAGCAGATAAGTTAAAGGAAAAACCTTTTTTCTTTTTATATGATAAGCTTCTTATAATATTTTTATGTTAGAAGCTTCTTATTATTTCAACCTTTTCGATATATTTCTATACAGACGAGACAATACGAGAAAAATGGTTAAATTTTATCTTCGCGCTACATCGCACTTTTGTAAAACAGAATATATGGCCGTTTACATGGCCAAACGCTGCGTCATTAACACCAGCGCTTTCGAGTGGCCTAAAACGGAGCCTAATGTTTCCAATGACGTGTAATTTTTAATTTAATTCAAACTACCGACAGTTTCAAGCGATGTTTTTAGCGCAATTGCGAATTCCACGTCACAACCCCGTTCCATATTTACGTCCCTTCCCCCACGTACGAGCAGTTCTTACACGCGAAACCGCCGTCGTCGTTCGGCGATTTCGTGTCCAAGAAAGCGTCGATGCTTTTTGCACGAGTGCGCGCGCGATTGCCGACTGCGATTATTACAACGCGATGTCGAAGCGCGGACGATGATCCGCTTTTGCTTCATTAGAGGACGGTGCGCGCACTCGAGGTAACAATAAATCTCCGGCCTTATCGACTCGCGACGATTAACGATACGCGTCGATTTGTCATACGTTTATCCGGCGCTCATTACGCGCGATCTATCGGCCGGCCGATCTCTCGCGCCGCGCCGGCGAGCGGGGTACAGTTATTAATTCATGACGGAAGGGTGGGTGGTATGGGGGACGAACGAGCGAGAGGGTAACCGATATAAAATGCATCCTTCGTGCTCGTGAGCGCGCGTGTTCATTCTTTCGATATCCGATGGAGGCCGATGGATCGCCGATAAACGGCCGAATCGCGATGTAATGATTCCGTTACACGCTGAAAAAACATTTTGTACTTGTGTTAAAATCGGTCCTTGCTCAAATTTCTTTTTTGTTAAATTTTTCACATACCCGTGTGTTAATTTAACATATCACACGGCAGAAAATGTTGTGTTCGAAACAGTCCGCTGAAATGTTTGTGTTACTTTAACAAGTTGAATATGTTAAAAAGTAATATGTCAACAAGACAAATATGTTTATTTAACATATAATGGTGTACTTTTGTGTACATATTCTCCGTGTTGGAGTAACAATTTCACCGTTTTTTTACACAGAATTCTTACTGAGTACGCTTATGTTATTTCAATATACATACCTTATGTTGAATCAATATTCAACATGCACATGTTAAAATAACATTTTTTTTACACAATATCGATTAACATATTATAATTTTATGTTAATTTTTCACATATTTGTGTTGCTTTTTAACCTTCAAATATTCACCTTATGTTGAATCAACACAAAAATCCGTGCGAATCGTTTGGAACATACGAAATGTGTTAAATTTAACATTAAATACAGTGTATATGTGTTTGCGAGCGCGCGTGTTCATTCTTTCGATATCCGATGGAGGCCGATGGATCGCAGATAAACGAGACTGGATCGCGACGTAATAGTTCCGCTAGAAGCGAGCGCGCTCGATAATTATTGCGCGAAATTTCGCATGCCTGTTCCTCCCCCCCATCCTCCCCGCCTCTTGGTATAATAACGCGTGCATTGTCGAAATCGAGTAACGCGTCGTATTGTCGCAGTCACTCTTGAACGAAGAAAGAATGCCCGGGTCCGTCGTTACTCTGGTGTCCCGCGTGACGTTTAATTAATCATCGCGCCGTCCTCGCGGCGTTACCGCGGCCGAGCCGATTTCACGTACGCCACGCACCTTGCATCGAGATATACTTATGACCGCTCACCTCCTTCGCAATCCTAACTTTCTCTCGTAACGTATCAAAGTGCAACTCGAATCGGATTACACGAAACTGCAACCACAAAGTAGCGTGTACTCGAGTTTCACGCGGAATCGCCCCGTTATCATTCCGAGAGCCGGCGAGATCCGTCGCGATAATTTCGCGAACACGATAATACCGGACCGAGTTCGACACCGTCGTACATCGCGATGTTCCCTCGTCGTTACACATTGTATCGCCGGGAGATCCCCTCAGCCTGCTGGGCCGGGACGGTCTTCGTACGAGTGTAGACGCGGTACGTCGAGGTCGACGACGACCACGGCGGCAGCAGCAGGTTGATGGATGCCGGAGTCTCATGAGAAAATCCGAATGGAGGGGATCGGCCGCGCGACTCGTCGTACTCGTCCTCGTATAGCCTGGCATATAGTGGTGGCACGACTCTAGCGGCGGTACCCGACCGGCGGCGACGGCGGAGGCGCCAGCGGTGGTAGTAGTAAACGACTACACTAGTAGTAGTAGTAGGGTCGACCGGGAGTGGGGACGGTAGGTCCGGTCGCGAGAACAGGTGGGGATAAGTAAGTACCTTCGGTGCCACGGCGACCCTAGGTTGCCTCGACGATACCGGAGACAGAGAGACCGAGGGAGAGAGAATGACAGAAGGGCGGAGGGGGGGCCCGCTCGAGGGGACGACCGAGCGACGGTGCGAGCGAGAGGGAGGAGGAGGAGAAAGAGAGAAATCGAAGGACGGTCCACCGCGAGAAAGAGAGACACGAGAGACGCGAACGGAGAAAGACGAGAGCGTGTGCGGGGGTGGGAGTACCCGGAGCTTGTGGGACACTGGTGGGGCGCGACAGAGGGTGGGATGGAGACACCACTGGTGGGAGAGAAAAGGGGGACACAGAGGACGGTTTGTCCACGTTCACCCACCGACGCACACGCTCGTACACGCGCGCGTGCACTACCGGCAAGTAAGCTCCATCTGACCTCTCTCTTTTACACTTGCCTGTGTTCCAGCGCTGGCGCGACTGTCAAGTATTCACCAGCAGCAGCAACAACAGCAGCAACAGCAGCAGGCTCAACAGCAACGGCTCGGCGGTGGTGGTTCCGGTGGTGGGGATGTCGTCTCCAGCCCTCGTGCCACTGGTAGGGAGGACAAAAGCGTCGTAGGGAGGGTAAAGCACCCGGCGACGTCGACGACGACGACGACGGTACCCGCGGCGGGCGGCGGAGGGGGTGTCGGCGGAGGTGGCGGCGGTGGTAGTGGCGGTGGTGGTGGTAGTGGCAGTGACAGTGGTAGTGGCGGCGGCGGCGGCGGTAACGCTGGTGGGGAACGTAACGGAGGCGGTGGTGGTGGTGGTTTCGCCGGTGGTGGTGGCGAAGTCGCGGAGAAGGAGGAGAGGCCACCGGCTTCAGAGACTGTCGAGCCGACGGCCGCGTTTGACGTCGCATCCCTCGTACTCTACGGCTCGCGCGCACTGCCGATACGCCTTAAGATCTTGCTCGATCAATTGTTCAACCAGTTGCCCCCCGCGCAAGTGACGCGTCTCTTAGCTGCCTTCGGCTGGACCCACGAGGATTACACGCGAGGATACATACTGCAGGTGAGTCGACACGCCGAGTCTCGCGGACGCGCGCGCCTTCGCTCGCGATCTTCCGTCCGCCGTTTGTTCGCGCGCGCGAGGCCATCGCTGAGCGGAAAGAGAGAGAGAGAGAGAGAGAGAGTCCCCTTCGGGGATGTTTCCGTGCTGCATTGTGAATTCGCGACGATATGCGTGTGCACCATGTGACGAAGAGGACTTTGACGCACGCGACGACGGACTCACTGACGTTTCGCGTGCGCGATCGTCAGCTGCGAACCCGACGCGCCTACGTGCGTAAGTATCACGGTTATGACTTTTGGATTACCCCCAGACGAGAGACGGCCGCTCGGGATGATTATTACATTTCGGTGACATCTTCGACGAGTAGGTGTCAGGCGACAACCTTTGGCAAACGCGGCGGGTCCTCGCGCGCTGATCCGGGTCGATACCGCGCGCGCGGGTGACCTTTTAAACTGTCGTCGCGAAGTAAGTTGCATAAGTCGTCTCCCTTGTCGTCGTCGCTCCGGCCACGAGTGATATTTTACAAGCGCGGTGATAAATCGGTTCTTAAAGTTAATGCAGGAACACAGGCGTCGACGAGCGCATCTCGCCGTGTAGCCGGTCGGTCGAAGGGATAAAATCGCCAAACGTGAGAATCATCGCGTGACGAATTGTGACGACCGGGCGACGAGAACGACGAAGACAGTGAGATCGGAGTTGAACAGTGCGTCAAAAGTGCATCGTACGTAAGTGTCAGTGGTGCGGCGACGTCGGACGGGCTGGAGTACCTGCGCGGTAACATGTAAATCCAAACGGGAATACCGTCGGACGCATCCGCTACGTCGGGGAGAAGACGGAACGGCGAAGGAGATCACCGGGGAGGAGGAGGAAGAGTCGAGTGAGATCGGCCCGAGGAGAGATGATTCGGAACGACGTCTGATCGGATCGACCAAGTGACGGTTTCTCGATTAAAGAGAAGGACGGCAGGCAAAATGGAAGAAACAGAGATTAGCCGAAAACACCGAGTTATCGGATGTGTTGCCGCAGTGGATTCGCAGTGCTGCTCGCAATTTGAAGACGATCGGCGTACAGTACTGTTATAATAACGCGATGTGCACCGATGTGGACGTCGCTTTCACGAGTTGTACGTGAAAATGTAGCTACATACGTGAAAACGTATGTAAACAGCAACATTTCACATATACGTTCTATATACATGTATGACTGTGTTCAAACTATAGCGGCGTCCGCCATCGTATCGCGCGCCGCATCTGAAATTTGGTGTTTCTCTCCTTCGGGGATTACGTTTCGTCTATGCGCAGAACCGAGAACGGCCACCTCTCGATCGACTGTTTCCTCATCGATTACGTATCGAGCATGATTGAAGCTGTTTCCGTCGCCGTGGGTCATCGCTCTCCCTCGACTCGCCCGGCGAAGAAGCGGAATTATGGACTGTCCTTTACTCGATAGTGCGCGTCGATCAGTGATAAGAGACTTGAAACATCCTCGGTCTCTCTAGACGGTAACTTCTTTCTACCAGTGGTGTCAGGATGAGATTGCTACGTCGTCGTTGAAAATTGTGCGGTATGTTCGGACCACTCGTCATCGAGAACGGGAAAGGTTCGTCGAGGAAAACCGTCCGCGTGAGAAATCACGGCGGGAACGCGCTAGAAATGTCGAACGGCGAAAGAAATCCTCAATATCGCTCTCGCGTTAATTGAGATGACTCTTAATAGATGTAGGTGACGCTGAGTATGAATCGCCGCGGCCGTAATCTCCGCTCGATGATCGCGCGACCGTTTAAAACGCAATCTGTGAGTGAAAACGGGCAACGTTACTTAGGATGCACGAAGTTGTAAATCGGGACGATCTACCGGCGATAACGATCGAGCAGACGAGATCTCCTCCGCGAGATGGGATCTATCGGGACAATTACCTATAATTTGTGCATTATAGAGGCATCTGTCTCGCATGGCGACACGCGCGCGCCGGTTAAAGCGCGATCCGTGAGTGACGATTAAAATAGAGATGACACTACGGCGAGCGACAAAGCAACGCTTCATCCCGACGTACCCTGCCGCGCATCATTATCGTGCCGATCTCGATGATGCACCGGGAGATAATCGCCCCGCGGTACACTTTTACATCTCGCAAAAAAGTCCATTTTATAAACGTGACACGTCGCGCGCGACATGCAACTCGGCAGCGACAGAACGAAGACGAGAGACGCTTCATTGGCAACGCAAACCGCAACATATCCGTCTCTCTCTCTCTCTCTCTCTCCGCGGCATGCTCTCCATGACGATAATTACCGCAGTCTCGATCGCGATGACACATCGAAGTAATCGCGAAAAGGAGAATTTTTACAGCTAAGACAGCTCGCGTGACATATGACACCCTCCTCGTCTCGTCCTTGGATGCTCCGAAACACTCTCGCGAGGCGCGCGCGTTAGTCTCGCGAGGCGCGCGTTAGGAAACGGGGAGTATCCGTGTAAACTGAATTGCACCGATGTCGGCGTGAAATTAAAACGTACGGGAAACCGGTTTCTCTCTCGGACGTTGGTGCGTACGTACACAACGGCCGGCGCTGCCACCGCGCGCGCGATGCGCTTTATCCGAGCGGCTCCGCAAAGGCGCGGACAGTCCGTGTCGTGTACGCGAGGAGCGCGTTGGAATATAATCGGGACAAATTTCAGTCGCGGGGGGACGAAGCGGCAGGCGAGAAATCTCTCGGAGTGTCGCGAGAGCGAGAGAGCGCACGCGATCCGCGGGGAAACCTTGGAAGTTCCTCTCCGAAACGGAATCGTTACCGTCGAGAGTATACAGCGGCACGTGCGGACGGCGCGTACGCGTGCACACGCCTTCCCGTCGTTCCGTTTGCCTTCGTCGTCGTCCGGCGAATTTCAAGCGAAATTTCAGCTCGTTAGAGCTCGCGTGACGATACACTTCGGAAGTCTATTAGCTTCGTACTTCTCCACGGGTACTCGGGGCCCGTTTGTGTACTCCTCGCTTTATAGGTGTCTCGTCGCCATAAGCGAGTCGGACGAAGACACGCGATTATCCGGGATTCGTTCGTAACGGGTGTGTGTCGAAACAGCGCGTCTCGGAGTTGTCGCGTCTTTGACGAAACGCGCTGCCCGGGAATGACGCAGGTCTCTGAGTCGTGGTTGTGACAGGAGCGAATTAACACACTGGCTCTAACACGGAGAGTGTTTTTCTAAGTGCTCCTTTTGGCTACTGTCAAATTAATGTGGCATTGTTTGACACCCGCGGGGCGAACAAGGTGGCTCTCTCTTTCCCCGAATCCTAGAATCTCGCTTCTGCGCCTCGAAATATCCGTCACTCCGCTCGGACAATTTTTCAACAACCGATATGCATTACCGGTCGTGATTTGTGTAATTTACGATCATTATGGCGCACGTGGAGCGAGCACTCAGTCAGAGTCCTCTGCTGGTCTTTTTCGCTCCAAACTTTCGACCTTTTCCGAATCTTTCCCCTGGGAGTAGACGGGATTTTATGCGGAGAAAAAACGTCGATCCGTCGCACAACGATCGACGACAATACCGGAGAGATACGTGTCGTCACAGTGTGTGTGTGTGTGTGTGTACAAATGTACCGTCATCGAATATCGATCAACTGTGCGATTCCGCTGGATCTCCGCTTATTAGGAGAATCACGACTCGTCGCGGAATACGATCTAAGTATCCCGACCTACGGCGCCGATTTGCAGGAAAGTCGGGCCGCCTGGAGCGTCCGCTTTTGGAATTTGCATTTCCGCGAGTCGAGAGCGTTTTCGCGGCCGCGAGCGAGCTGCTTTACGGTTCATTACGGAAACGCCATCTCGCCGGGACTCTCCACCTAATCACGGTATACGACGCGAAAGTATCGCCGCGCGGAGGGGGGAGGGGCAGATCCGTCGGAAATTAAGAGCTCGTGCCGCGCCGCGGATTTGCATCTCCTCTCTTTACCGCGTCTGGCGAACTTTTTGCGGTCGAGCGCTACTTTACGGCTCGTTACCGGAATGTGTCTTCTCCCCGGGAGACCCCGCGAAGTGTCACGTCGCGATCTCCTGTGTGAAACCGCGAGCCGTTTTCGACGCCGGTCCGCTTCTCCGCGGCTTTTCGGAATCTATGTCGCAAGCGGCGGACGCGCTATCGGCATCTCCGTCACGAGCCGCGCAACTCCCCAATCACGATTCATAGCACAGAAGCGTCGCTCCGGAGCGGCGATCGCCGGGTTCCGCCGCCGGGCGTGCGAATTATTCGCGACGGTCCAACGCCGCGGAGAGAGATAGACTCTCTCTCTTTCTCTTCGGAGCCGTTGGCGCAATCCGGATCGCCGGATACATAGCGCAACAATCGTCGCACGACGAAAGCTTGACTAACGGAGCGCACAACCGGAATCGCCAGACATCATCCCCCGTATCACGATCCGAGTGACGGAGCGAAGGCGTTTCCGAGCGGGGCGAGATCGAACGACCGGTCGAATTCGAGAGAGAGAGAGATTATTCCGGATCCGCGCCCGTGACGCTCGTCACGAGTGTCGCTTCGCGGGAACGATCCGCGAGAGCTCTCGGAGAATCGTTCCGGATTAGCATCTCGCTGGCGAAATTTTCGCGGTCGAGGGTCGTTTTATGGCTCGCTACGTCGGCGTGCCTTCTACGAGGCAGCGCACCGTTCAGCCGGGGACCGTCTTCCTCGTCTCCTTCGTCATGGCGCGAACGTGGAAACGGTAAATCACGGCTCGGCGGACGGGCCGAGGGAGAGAGATCGCGAGGGAACGAGCGTTTCTGCTGGCCAATTTCGCACGTTGTTGCCAGCAGCCTCCGCTGCAACGGAAGCGGTTGCAGCGACCTGGTCGCAATGGCGAAATCAAGTGGGATTTTACCGGGGGCTGGCCGGCTGCCGTCGACTCCGCAGCTTTACGACGGATACCGCGATGGAGGAAGAGGCGACTTAGGAACGCGAAACCGCCTCCTTGCGCGCCGTGGCAGCGCGAGATTTACGAGCGAGTTGCGCGAG